CTGCAAAACCATTGACTTCTTCTTCTATATCTTGTCTTTCTTTTGACTGTAATGGCCTCACAATAGGCTACCCATTTTGGCTAAAAAGCCAACAATCTCACAAGTACCGTGGCTACCAAGGTTTTAGCCTCTCATGCAACGGCAATGCCCCGACCCTCAGCCTCTCCAACCACCTCTACGACGTTAAAAAAATTTCAATGATTCAGAAAAGACTTTGACCATCACCTATACTGACCTAAATGATCCAATATGTCCCCTTGTACCGGATGATGTTGTCCTTGACACTGCTTCTTGTTCGATGAATCATACTTGTGATGATCAGATAATTCACTTCTTCTACTATTGCTCTTTCTATCCGCCTTCACTGCAGGATACAGGGCACGGTGGAGTTAAGCGGTCGTTTGTTTTTGCGGACAGCGCGATTCCGAGTTTGTTTGGATAGCCAATTATCCCAAATAATATTTCGCATGCATTATAAATATATTTTTCAATCCATTTTTTTATATTTTCAACCATCTTTTTATCTCACATAAATCACATCACAAAAAATATTATAATAATTATTTCAAATAATACTCTTTCCAACAAACCCTTATGTGAAGCCGTGGTGAAAGGTACTGTGATTGAGAGTGGTGTTCATGAAGTTTATGGTGGTCTTGTGGTTAGGGGTTTCGGTGATCTATTCATTCAATACTAAACACCACTCCTCCGGTCCTCCTTGCTTGGAGTTTTTGGTATACTCTTACTCTTTCTTGGAGGTTAATTTCTTGAAACAATAAGGGGGATCCAACTGCGTGGGAAATGTGCTTTTTATATGTCCTCTTGTTTTTTTGGTCAACAGAAAATACGCAGCAAAATTCATATGGTGGAGCCAATTCAAGAAATGAATAGATTCCAATCTACATTTTTCCTTCCCAGCCATGGCTTTTTTTTTTTTAATCACCAGTAACCTTGTGGCAGGTTAAAAGAAATTACGAGGCTTCAATTCACCCTAAAAAAATAACCTCGTGGTAATTTAAAAGAAATTACTAGACTTCAATTCACAAAACAAAAAAAAGTTATAAAGAGCATCCAGTTAACATTCAAGGAGCATAAAAATTCTTTTTTTTTTTAGGAATAAATTTGTTTTTGATAGGATTCAATATTGATTAGAGTTATAGAAGAATCAAGCATGATAAATAGAGTCAGAACATGTGGATATTTATCGTCGAAGGTATAATTTGCTAATGCTGTCTAAGGACATAAATAACTCTTCCTTCAAGATCCATAATTAGTGGGACAAAAAGAGAATTATACAAATTCTGGATGTATTTTTTGAATCCCCGAAATACAGGAATTAGATACTCCTCCTGGTAGTTCAGTTGGTCATGTCCCCTTCTCAGGATACATTGTCCATTACCCTCACAAGGGTTCGAGTCCCAGGATTGCCGTGTTCGGGGGATGGGCCCTCTCTTCTCGGATTGTTGGGGATTAATCGGGTTGAAGGCCCGAATACCTCCTAAGTCAGGGAAAAAAAAAAAGGAATACAGGAATTAGACCAAACTTAGCCCAAAATATCAGAAGTGCGTATGTAGGATGATGTGATTCATTTATGTGACAATTTTGCCCTCCATAATGTTCCAAATTTCTCCCAAAGGCACTCTGTATAAAGGTAAAGCCGTAAAGGTACGGACCCACCTCGATGCCTGTGGCGCCACCGAGCCGTTACTAGTAGAGTGAGTAGGGTTTAAGCCAATTTATCGTTTCAAAAAAAAAAAAAAAAGAGTAGGGTTTAAGCATTTTCCCAGGGTTTTCTCCATTATTTAACCAAGAAACAGTATCAAGATTTTGGGAGAAGAAAATGGAAGAGTTCGACGAAGATGATTTCGGGGATCTTTATACCGACGTCAAGGTTCAAGCCGGCCCGGCACTCAATTCTGTCCCACCATTGGCTCAATTTTCCCTGGACACAGAAATTTCGGATTCCTCGGAGGCAAATGAGAGATTCACCGCCGGCGGCAGTGGCGCAGACAATGCTGAAGAAGAGGAGGAGGAGGAGACCGCGGCTGTGGCTTTGGATGAAGGTCAAGAGTGGAGTGGGAATGGATCTGAGAGTGAGAGTGAGAGTGAGGATGATTTGAATATCGTGTTGAATGATGATGAGGAAGTTGAAAACGGTAATGAGGTTATTAATGGAGGTCAATTAGGGTTTCGAGTTGGGGGGATTGGGGGAGGGCTTGATCATGAGGATGAAGCTGGAATTAAAGGGGAAGATGAAGGGAGTAAAGGAAGGGGAAACCATGATAGCTGCTGCACTGGTGGTGTTGGTGATGTTGGCTTTGAACTAGGCAATAGAGGGAAGGTTGGGTTTAATGGTGGTGATTGCAGTGTAAAATACGAGGTATACTCTTAACACAAAATTTTATAGTTTTTGGGCTTATATGTTTACTTTGAAGTGCAAATAAAATGGAGCGTTTGCGCTGAAATTTTTTGCTCCCGACAGAATCTGAGTGAATTTTGAGTTTGAATGGTCTGGCTTGGGAGTTCCGTGCCCAAAACCAGTGAAGCCAGAAGGTTCAAGCTTGTATCAGGAATAGTATAGGTCATGGTAGGATGTGGTTTCTTTACTCGTATTCCTATACTTTAAATCCCTTGCATTAACTTAGCAACATAACTTGTCTTGGGTAACGGCAGTATTATTTGCTTGCCGAGAATCTGATGCTGGATACATTGGGCACTTTGGGTGCAAAAGATGTATTCAGCGTGTAGCAAGATGTATTTTATGTTTTTAGCCATTTGTTATAAATTTTTTGGTTTGACATTTAGATTTTTCTCTGTTGCAGATGATAGAGTTGTGGACATTTAGGAAATGGATGACATTATGTAATTGAAATACTTGTTCTGTTAATGTGATTGTGTATGTGTTTGTTTTGGCAATACGTCCTACTCAACTGGCCATGTTGTTTATTCCAAAAGGAGCAAGATGAGAGCCTTTAAATGTGTAAAATTTTTGAATGTTGTGTATTTAGGTCTACTTTGTGCCATATACCTCTGGAATTACTTTTCAAAATCAGGAGATGTTCCACGTAAAGTACTTTGGTGTGTCTCTTTGTTCCAACAAAAACATTCCCTTTCCAATGTGATACAATCTGTGTCACTTGATCGTGATTCTATGATTGTATTGACTGCATTCACCTTCTTTTATAAATAAACTCAGAGATCATCTTATTTCATATGGACAATTATATCGTCTCTTTTGTGTAGTGCATGAAATCGAAGGCAGCAGCGGTTCTAAGTAATTTGAAATGCAATGGATCTGCCAGAGTAGCTTCTTACTCTTCCCAATTTGTTAGAGGATACTGGGAGCATAATTGTTGGACCCCTCGTTTTGGCAAAAACTCGCTAGTGCCACAAAGGGGACATAACTTCTCACTTCCTCGTTCTAGGTCAGCAATTTTAGGAAACCTTGGTTTTTTAAGAGTTTTTTCTTGATAAGATCTTAGATAGTGCTTCTTAATGTACCAACATGTTCTTGGTAGATTTTCTGGTTCTGTTATCTTTTTGTGTTGCTTATAGTATCTTCAGAGATACTTCTTCTACATGCTTTTGGAGTGTTACATTTCATTTTATTTGTATGTTGTACACAGGACCATTATAGATGTAAATATAGATGCATTCGAGTGGAAGCCTTGGAGGCATCCGGGGGCTGACATAACAGATTTTTTCAATTTTGGTCTTGATGAAGATAGTTGGAAATGCTATTGCAGTTGCCTGGTAAATGAAATACTGTCTACGAATTGTATATATTTAAGAGCTGTCCAGTTCATCAATGTACTTCCTTTGGGCTTATACACAGATTTAACATTGCTTTAATGTTTTGAATTTCAGCATTGTGTTAGAAGATAATTGCAAAATTATGTTCAGTACTTGGCCTTTTCTGGATAAACTCTCATTCTGAGTTGCATTACAGGATGGGTACCGCGAGCAACCAAATGAGGGTAACCCAGCTTACAATCCTTGGAGACATAGTATGGTAAATTGTTGATTTCACAAAATATTCTCCAATTTGAAGTCAAATGCCCAAAATTGTCTTGTAATGTTTTCCATCTGTCAAAATTTTACACCAACATAACGTGTCTTCAGAGGCTGTAACTGAAAATAGAACTCTCTTCAAACAGATGAGATCAGTTTCACAAATCTCTTGTAGACATGAGCAGTTAGAGATGGTATGCATAGTTCATTTGATAGGCAGATCTCATGTATCTAAGCTTTTATTCTTCTGGAGAATCATAGTTTTGAAAAATCTCTTCTGAGTTAAGCAGCATTGTCACATAAAGATTGTTTGCTTATCCAGCCAAAGGGGGAAGCTATTCTGGTAGAAGACAGCATTTGTGAACGCCAAGCATCTGTAGATGTCAGGCATTCTGTTGATCGAGACTCTGATGTTATCATACAGGTAGCTTGTTATTACTCTACTTCTGCAAACTATACTGTCTTATTCTGCTGCTCACTGTATTTGGTGCTACAGATTCATGTGCAGGATATGGAAGATCTCTCAAGCTTTGGGAACATGGCACTTGATCAAGGGAGTAGCCATGTAGCTGAAGCTTCCCATGAAGGAGAATCTGGAGATATTGGTATAAAGAATGAAGATATGGTTTGTTTTAATAGTGCCAGTAAAGATGACCTACCCATTTTGAAGGGACCCACAGAAGAAAAATGGATATCAATTCCTGAAAGGTTTGCAAAGTGCATATAATTGCAAGAAAGCATTCTAGCTGAATACTTTCCATCTTTTGTACGCTACAATAGCATACTTTTTTGTCATAAAGGATATGGATGGGGAATATCTCTGCTCTTGCATGTTGCTGGTTTCTGGACAGATTATTAGTTTTGTAATCTTCTTACTTTAGTTTCTTAACTAAGTTACAAGCTAATCAAGTGTTCCTATCGATCAGGTGCTCCAATGATACATCTACATGTGCTGGTAATCCTGTATATAGGGATTCAGACAATTGTGGGAGTCTTCAGGTTTCTGATACACACGAACACGACCATGAAGAGTTGGCAGACAGTGATTCAGATGGAAGTGCCGAAGATAGATCTTCTGATGACTCGAAGAAATGTATTGGTAGTGTCACATCCAATACCACATCAACCGTAAGGGAATCAGAATCATCCTATGGGCTTGAGACTCGTGGCACTAATTTCTCTCCTTCTTCCAGTCATGACATAAAATCCAGATGTGGTGCTTATCCTGAGCCAGATAAAATTTATGACCATGTTAAAAGGGTATCACCAAACTCAGAGTCTGAGGCTGTCACATTTGATTGTAATTCCTCAAAGGACTTCAGAAGCCATAGCATCAAGATGAAGTCTGGTGCTTATGAATATTTTTCAAGAGGCAGAAATCCCATCAACAGAAAGCTCAAATTTCCTGAGAGGAAATCAACTAGGATATCTAAATTCAAGTCTCACCTCGAGTATGAGGATGCTTTCTATTTGTCTAATCCAAAGAAGTTGCATGACGTATGTCGTTCAACATCTGCATGTGGCAATCAGAGAAATAGGTGTCATAGTTTTGATTTTTCTGAAAGGCAAGATTTCTCATGTTATGAGGGCTTAGAATATCTTATCAGCCATAGAGGAAAAAGATTATATGATTATCAGTCCAGTGGTGCTTATTCTCAAAATTCTCATCAAAGAGGTTGCCGAGTTTCTAGATATGAGAGAGAGCAGTGTTACAATCAGACTGTAAGTGGAAAACACCATTTTACTGAACAAAGAATACCGAGGTTTAGTGGTGACACAAGGGAGAAGGATTTGGATCACTATGATGGGGAAGACTCTGTCTCAGGACTGGAATCCCTTGATTTCCATGGGCCAGGAGAGCTCATTTTTGAAAAATCACAATTGTTAGACTGTGGAAACCATGCTCGGTGGAAATGGAAATCAGGAGAGCTGAAATTTAGAAGGAAATTGAAAAATTGTAACTTTATTTGTGAACATAAATATAGCAATAACATGACTCGAGAAAATTTTAGATCTATTCAGTGTAGGGAAGGAGATATTGTGCAACGTAAATATGATAGACAGTTGCAATATGGTAGAGGAAAAGTTAGAGGCCCTTTAAGAGGCAAAAGGAGATTTGACAGTCCCCTTAGTGGCTGTGAAACTATTCGGTGTAGAAATAGCGAGGACGAGAAACCACAAACTGTTGGCAGGGTAAGGGCGCCAGGTGCGCCTTATTCAAGAATTTATGTATCTGAAAGATGCAGTAAACAAGGGAAACATAATTGTGTAGGGAGGTACAGTGGTGGTACCAAATTTGGTTTTTCTGATGGTATGTTTGACAGTGATGAGAATATAAAACATGCTGATGATCAAGATGATTTTGCTGGAAGAAGACATTATGGACAATCTGAAGTATTGGAGTGGAGGGAAGAGGAATGCAATTCTTGGTATCCTGAGCATGGTGTTTTGGCTGAGGGAACATTATATCCTTTTAACAAGACTTCAGGGGGTAAAGGATCTGTTGCCAAACATGGGTCTGTATATGGAGGGAAGCTTATAGATCTTAGTGAACCTGAGCAAAATAGATACAAATTATCAAGAGAAGGCGGTGTCGGTAGTAAATTTCTGGAAAGTCCTAATGTTAGCCGTAGAGATAATGTTCAGCGAACACGCCCAAGGTGCTGGGATTCAACTGACAAAGACATGGTTGTTTGGGACAGCAAGGTAAAATTGGGGGAATTGAGGTCAAATCTTTGTATCATTCTACATGTATATACACAAGTAATTCTCATATTTTGGAAAGTGCTTTTTGCATATGTTTATTGCTTTATTTGTGTCTTTTAGAACTGTCTTGATTTTTCTTTTACTCTGGTGTGGCCTATATTCAAGCTTTGCTATAATATTGCAAGTTTTTGGATTGATCTACCTATTCCCTGGAAACAGAAAGTTGGCCTCAGTCCTCGAAGCATGCAATTTTTAATTCAAAAATTCCCAAAATTTATCTTGTTTATTCTGTGAAAAAATATGCATTAGTCACAAGCCGACCCAACAGGCCACTAATATTAGAGGGTTTTCTTTCAATCGTTTGGTTGACAATATTTGTGTTTTCAAAGCTGATTCTGTTGCATTCTACTGATGCATATTAAACCTAAGGCACATATGAGATCCAAAACATGTTTTGTAGTATAAGGAACAGTAACTTTCCATGGAAATCATCAATGGGCAAGTTTCTTTTCTTTAGGAAATTTAGAACTATCTTTATAGGTTATATTAACATGTCCAATTTTTTTATTTTGGATAATGATCTGTATCTTGGAGCTTGCACATCTTGAAAATTTTAAAAAGCTACCCTTTGTCTTGTAGATACTTAGGCAGTCAATGTCAATGTGAAAAGGCTGATGCCCTTGTTTAGCCAGAGTGCCAGACTTAGAGCCACCTTAGCTGAGTTCTGCTTGGCCAACTTGTGCCTTGTCGAATAAAGTTTCCAGTTAGGATACTTAGTACATATGATCAATTGCTTTTCTGGTTTAAAGAGCCTATGGACCAAGCTATGCCGATAAGTTTGTTGAGGTGTGGCTTATTATGAGGTTTAGCATAAGATTAGTGAGAATTGGTTGGATGAACAGAAAGAAACTCGTCTATGTTAATGGTACATGACTTGAATTTTGCTGCTACATTGAACTGTTTGTTTATTTTCACTGGATTGTTGAGTTGGGACTTTACATGATTGGAAGGTAGTATTAAAAACAATACTCTTGCTTGACTGTGCATCAAGATTGTAAACTACTTTTTTCTGTCTCCACAGGAGCAATACATTTGGTTTAATTCTTGGTGACCATTTTTTAGCATATAGAATATAGGATACAGACTAATTTGTTTATATTATTTGCAATGGTCGTTACTTCACCACCATCTGAATGCATGGTGACAAGAGGAGCATCATTTTTCTTCTCTAAGCCCTTTGGCTTTGTTTTCTGATCGATTCAGTCTACCTATGCCACAGTAAGAACTTGTGGTAGAAAGTAGTTGTCAATGGAGCCAATATGATTGTTTCCCCCATTAGCTGCTAAATGACCTACAACATATTGTTTTCCCCCTGTTATGGTACCTGTAAACATTTTGATTTGTTTATTATTTGAGTTGATGGACATCTAAACTTTTTGTTTAAATTTTCGTTCTGGAAGATTTTTCAGGATGATGCCCTTTCCTCCCAACTCCACCCAACCATCCCCCACCCAACCCACAAAAAAAAATTTATTGTACTTCCATCAAATTTCTCTCCCTGAAGCTTTACTTGGTGGGTGTTGTGGTTGCTTACATGCATGTTATCATATATACACAAGCATGACATTGTGGCACTGCATTTTGTTTGGTAAAATCACTGTTGAATGCTTGGTGTATTTGTAACTTTTACTATTACCTGGATCTGATTGTGGTGCGTATGTTGTTTTGGAGATTGCACATGAATTGTACAGGATCAGGTCACAAATTCTGGTTGTGGCTTTTGCTGCATCGCAGAGGGAATGCACAATCTTCCTGTGTTCCGGGTTGTCTTCCTTGCATGTGCTATGTGCTTGGTAACTGAAAAGTAGTTGTCCTGGAACTTACACGATGAATTTGCATGTATAATTTGCGTTACCTGAGTTCTAATATTCATTAGGGCAATTTTACATGCCTAGTAAGTTAATGGACGCCGGACATGGTCTCTTTCCTCCGAGCTTTATGGTTGGAGCCCTATTCTGATCAGTATTGGTGTTTACTTTTCCAGCTTGTCTTGCATCTTCCGAAACCACCTTTTGCTTCTTTTACAGGAGGTCCTTTGTACTTATGCGGTGGCTCCGCTTATTTCTCTTTTTTCTTTCTTTTCCCTTTTGTGTCGTATATGCTTATTCATGCACTGCTCTGACAATTTTGTTGGTCTGTCTACACTAAGAATGTGGGACATCCTTATATTGACATTTCCTGATGGCAATGGACTCTGCAGTCCTCTAGGTGCTCCGAGGCTGGAAGTTCAATTTGCTTTGATAGATACGAGTACTTCAAGCGCAATGAAGATTCAGAGCAGCGAACTTTCAAGGGCTTAAATGATTCCCGTCTAGAGAAGGTTGCTCGAGCTGACAATACAAAAGCCGGTACCTTCCTGGTGGATGCAAATTGGCGCAACAAGTTTCCTAATGGCAAGCGGAACGATTCTCCAGATATTGAAGAAGGTCAGATAGTTACTGAAGATTTGAATGAGAAACCTAAGGAAAGGATTAGTGCATCCAGAGATAAAACAAACATCACAGGCACAAAGGCCATTTCCAGGGAAAATCCTAGGATATTGGAGATAATTGCCAAAATGGAAAAACGACGAGAGCGGTTCAAGGAACCGATTTCTTTGAAAACAGTCTCAGAGAAAAATGGCAAGCCATTTACTGCTGATGGTGCTGAAACTGTTGAAACAAAGCAGCTACCTAGACCAGCACGGAAAAGGAAATGGGCTGGGAGTTAGGGAGGTCTTAACAAGCTTCCCAACAAAGAATACATTATTAGATCTTCAGGTTTTCTTGATTAGTTTAAAAAGTTATTATACAAACAAAGCCATGTTTGCTGGTCAATAATTATTGCGATTACTGAAATATAAAGCACGTTGAAGAAAGTTTATAATTGTTTTCTAGCATTCGGGGTAAGAGTTGATAAATTTTATCATATAATAGGGGGAGGGCAGTGGGAGGGGGAAAATGGGTATCATGGACAAATAACTTGATTTGAACAAACACATTTTTTCAAAATATAATTATAATAAGTTACAGTAAAATTTTAAATTTTAGACATTTATTCAAAGCAATAAATAAGGTTGATTATTTGAAATAATTATTGTAATATTTTTACGATGTGATGTATGTGATATACACGGGTGATTTTTTATAATGGGACGTGCAGGTGATTGGAAAGATAAAAAATGTGTTTGTAATGCAAGTAAATAAAATATTTTTGTAAATAATTTCTATCCAAGCACATCAATTGTGTAATCTTTACTCTGGTTGTTTCTGGGAGCTTGTTTTTAAGTATTAATTTCTGAAACTCAGCCAGATGTGGTATGGACTACAATTTCTTCGTTAATTAGTGGTGTTTTTTCTTGCTCTAAAATTTTGAAGCAATCCACGTAATGTACTAGCAGTCAAGCAGGCTAAATAATAGTTTTCCTGAATTAATTTTGTCTTGAATCTTTAGAATTATTCCCACCTCGAATCAGGTTCATTATTATCACGGTAATTGTTGCGAAAAGTTTAAAGGTGAATGTCATATTCTTTCAGACCCAAAGGAAGGGATGTTCATGCAATAGCTATTCTTGCCTATTGACCAAACGAACTTATGATGATGCAAGTCAAGTTTTGTAATGTATAATTCCAAAAAATAAAAAATAAGACGCCAATTTTGTGAGTCCGGATAAGACTACTATTGGTAGGAAAGAGATTATATAAATGTAATATGATCAGCTTTCTGCGGTGAAACTGGAGAGAAAGGTACCTAAGTAAGTATGATTTACGTGAAATTTCCTACTCAAGCATTCTCCAAAAACACACCCAAAATATATATATATATATATATCTTAAGAAGAAGTGTAGAAAAGAATCGGACCGACAGACTGGGATGGCTTGACATCTTCTGACTTCTGCTCTATCCCCTTTAGACCACCAATAAACGGCTTCCACGTGTCTAAAAAATCTACAATTGCAGATGAGGTCTAAGCCGGTCAAGCAGCTGCGTTACGTGCCACTCTGCAAACCAGTAGCCTCTTTTCCCAGTGTTTGCCACCCTAATAGTGTGTACTGTGCAGGAAAGCCACCACTTTGAAGTTTGAACTCTGGACTGGGGGGGGGGGCTATTTAGTAGTAGTATTTGCTCATATTACTCCTATTATATTTCCATATTTCTTCGCATGGCTTAGCCGAAAGGATGTGATCATAGTAATTCAAAAGCTAATTACATTAATATTTTTACGGAGCAAATTTCCATACTCCCTGGTTATTTTTAAAGTTACAAAAATTTACTTGTTATATCATCGGACCAAAAACATGTTGTCAAATGATCTCTCCTCCCTCTTGAAATTTCGAGTTGGATTGTAATGAATCTGGATGCTGTAGTCAGAGAAACACTTTAATGCAGATGAACAAACTTTTTCTACTTTCATTTCTCTCCTGAGAGCCTCTCTTACCCTTCCGCTTCCACTCCTACTCAGTTCCATGTAAAGTATTGATTCATACAGTTATTATCCGTTAAAGAGTTTCGAGAAGGAAAAAGAAATGCACTCATTTTCTTCTCCCCCTCCTTCTTCAACCTGCACCAGCTCCAAGTACACTCTTCTTTCTCCTCAAAATTCCAATCCCTTAATATTCCATTTGGTCGTTCCCTTCAAGACCCTCCATCCCTCTTCTTCGCATTCTCAGTTAAGTCCCGTTTGTTCCCATGAATCATCATCACCACCACTTCTTCAAGAAAGCCCACAAAGATTTCAACCTCAGGCCGATGATATTATTGTTCGAGAAGATGATTTTGAAGTCGCTGAAAAGATCAGGACTGCCAAGAAGTCCTTGGAGGAGTTGCTTGTTGTTCGCCGGCCAGTGAAGGAGATTACTGCGGAGGAGGAGGAGGAGGAAGAGGAAGAAGAAGAACTAATTGAGTCCGAGGATGAAGAAGTTGAGGAAGAGAAGTCGTCCGTTTCATCAATGCCATTTGATGCTAAACTTTCTAAATTCGCAAAGAAGATGCCTATTTTTGAGCCTGAGAGGGTAGAACAGATCCCCGGTGGTAAACCGCTGACAATTAATTTGGACTTAGCTCTGTATCGAGCTAAAATATTGGCACGTAATTTTCAGTATCAAGCATCAGAAAAGATACTTCAGAAGGTACTCATCTTGTTCCATACCAATCTCTTTTCAAATTCTATCAGCAGTTAGATATCTTGAATTCTTCATTTTTGATAATGACTATGCGGTTACTCTTGTGGACTATGAAGTGCATATACTATTGGCCGGAAGATGGGAGATCATATGTAGCTTTAGGCAAGATTCTGAGTAAGCAATCTAAAATGGGTGAAGCCAGGGCTGTTTATGAAAAGGGATGCCAGGCTACACAGGGAGAAAACCCGTACATTTGGCAGGTTAGTATACCTGTTATTCTAGCCTTTCTCAATCCAATTTCATCATTGGTATCCGCTTTCTGTTATAACCCAAGCTTATTTCGTTGACTAATGCTGTCCAATAAGTTAAAAGAATTTAGCAAGCTTTCAGAGCCTAACTATATTTATTACTTCGTGTATGAGGCAAAAAAGCAGTTCAACCGGGTAAAAACTAACAAGACAAGATTAGTTTGCTAGTGTTATCCTAATATCCTACCCAAAGTAGATTAAGTGATATTTCAAGTGATCAATTTGGCATTTTGTTTTTTAAGGATATTGTCTTCATTTGAATTATCAATCCCTTAGTCCAATGTGCCAAGAGCTAATGGGGTGAAAAATAACAAGGACACGTTAATTTCTCTTCATTGGTCACTCGCTTTAAGTTTTACATCTGCACAATTTGGAAGACATAATTAGTGGACTTCCAGCATCAGGTTCTCTTCTTCTTTTCCATTTCTAGGGTCGGAACTTCTTTAGGTGGGGGAAAGATTGGAGAGGTGGAGGAGGGTGGTTGAGACCTGCTCTGGCCTTGTCACTTCCCTTACAGTATTTGAATTGAAGGTTTAGGTAAATGAAAATCCTCATATGTATTTAGCTGGATGGACAACAGCGATTTCCAGATATCTACTGCATGTAAATTATTTTTGTGCAAAGGAGAATGGCTAACCAACAGCATGCTTTGCCATTTTTTATTGTATAGATCAGAAAATTAACTCAGACCTGTTTCCTTGCACTAGTGCTGGGCTGTTCTGGAAAATAAGATGGGTAATATACGGAGGGCTAGAGAATTGTTTGACGCTGCTACAGTTGCTGATAAGAGGCATATTGCTGCCTGGCATGGGTGGGCAGTCTTGGAGCTGAAACAGGGCAACATTAAGAAGGCAAGGAATCTTCTTGGCAAAGGTCTGAAGTTTTGTGGTGGAAATGAGTACATATACCAAACGCTTGCATTGCTTGAAGCTAAAGCGAGGAGATATGAACAGGCCCGCTATCTATTCAGGCAGGCAACTAAGCGTAATCCAAAAAGCTGTGCCAGTTGGCTCGTAAGTATTTATCTTCAAAAGAGATTCTGTTACACAGCTTACTTGCGACGGCATTTACTGACTCTTTTCTTTTTCCTTGCGATTGGTCACAAGGTGAAAACTTTTAATTGTACTGATGTCTCTTTGGATAGGCATGGGCTCAACTGGAGGCACAGCAGGAAAACAACCCTGCAGCAAGGCAGCTTTTTGAGGTTGAGTGTTTTGCAACTTCGATTTCTGATTACTAATTCAATTATTGTCCATATTTTGGAAACAAAGATAATAAACATAAAATTTCGTCTCGGTTTCTTCAGTTAGTTAGATGTTTAGTTTTCTTGTTGATTTGCATTCATGGTGACCTTTTCTTTTCCTCATGCAGGCAGCGGTGCAGGCTAGTCCTAAGAATAGGTTTGCTTGGCATGTCTGGGGAGTCTTTGAATCAAATTTGGGAAATATAGACAAAGGAAGGAAACTTCTGAAGATAGGACACACTGTAAATCCAAGAGATCCAGTTCTTCTTCAATCCCTTGCTTTGTTGGAATACAGATACTCCAATGCAAATCTTGCTAGGATGTTGTTCAGGAAGGCATCTAAACTGGATCCGAGGCACCAACCAGTTTGGATTGTAGGACTTTATTCTCACTGTTGTATGTAGATTTATGCTCATTTATTCAAGTACATCCACAGAGATTGACATGCCAACTTTTTTTCCATTAAGGCTTGGGGATGGATGGAGTGGAAAGAAGGAAACATCTCTACAGCTAGGGACTTGTACCAGAGAGCCCTCTCAATTGATTCTACTACTGAAAGTGCTGCCCGTTGCCTTCAGGTAAGGAGGATGGTATTAAATCTAGTTCCCATTTAGTTGTCCAAGACCCCCTTCTTTAGATAAAAAGTACATCTAGATGAAGGCAGGCAACACAAATTGAGTGCCTCCTCGATCCTAAGGAATCATATAATTGAATATGGTGATAATATGATCTTCCTTATGCCTCAGTAAGTTTTCTTAAGCTGTTGAAAATTGGAAACAATCACCAAGCAAAATGACCTTTCTTTGGACCATGATCTAATTGCTGTGCCATTCTTAAATGCCGGTCTGCTAGAGAACACTTTTATCTCCCTGAAACAACCAAAAAATCCACCGGATACCAACAGTATAGCTGGAAAATAATAAGATCTTGCAATGTAGCATCCCACCTCTTACAAAGCGGGACTCCAGTTTGTCTTGGCTCAAGTTTCTATTGTATCCGTCTGGACTAAAAGTACTAATTGCCAAAACTGAAATGTCGGCCATTGAATTATGGTTTATATAATAGGCTTGGGGTGTTTTGGAGCAAAGAATTGGCAATTTGTCAGCAGCTCGAAGACTATTTAGATCTTCATTGAACATAAATTCTCAGAGCTATGTAACCTGGATGACTTGGGCATCCCTGGAAGAAAACCAAGGGAATTCTGTACGTGCGGAGGAAATCCGTAATTTATACTTTCAGCAGGTAAACAGAATAAAACTTCGTGGACCTCTAAGCATTGAGTACTCGAATGAATTAATGTATCATAATAAAACATTCAATTTGGTGCAGCGTACTGAAGTTGTTGATGATGCTTCATGGGCTATGGGTTTCTTAGATATCATCGACCCTGCAATTGACAGCATAAAGAAGCTTCTAAATTTGGGTCAGAATCCATACAAGAAAGCAGTAAATTCACTCACAGGGTCACCAGGAGCTGAAAATGGAGACAGTGGAGAAGAATCAGCAGGGCGATCCTCTGATTATGTCAAAGGTACCAGAAGTGAAGAAGAGTTTGATCTAGATAAGTTTGTTCGCGAAAAATTATCTTTGGATCCCTCAGAGCTGGAAGTTCAGTTAGGAACACTAGAAAAAGTTACTGCCGTCAGTATAAAATCTCCAAGGAAGGTATCACTGCAGCAGAGAACGGCTGCTAGACCATCACCAGAGCCCTGATTCACGTCGATACATATATATGTTGATTGGCCTGCCCTTATTTATTATTATTGTACTAATGTAGTTCAACTGAGAGATCATACACAAAATTGGATCATCACTGGTTATCAACAGTGATTTCTGATTTATAGAATTTAGTAGTTCAGACATTTTACACAGACTATAGCGAGATTGGATAATCACTGTCCTCTCTTTCATGGACACGGGTTGGAGGTGGATTGGATACTCTTGCATATGTGTTATATGCAAGATTAAGGCCTTCTGCTTGTATGGTTGTCTAACTGAGCTTGTTTGTGAAACATTGATCCTCTTGTCGTCGGGGAAGCTGTATAATTAGAGTATAAGATATAGCATTTTATCCTAGGAACTAAAATTAAGAATGCGAAGATGGAGTACACGACAGATCCGATCCATTCAATTGTAAACTCCACGTCTGAAGATTGTAGACTGAATATACGCACCCTCCCTGTGTTAAATTTGTACACAAAATTATCACCCTACTAAAACATATTATTAATTGAAAAAAGGTGGGAGCACCCAAAGATGCTTGTACAAAACTAAGATATAAATTAGCGTATAAGACTGACATAGCACTTTACCCTAGGAACTAAAATTAAGAATGGGGAAATAGAATACATGACATATCCACGTATCCATTCAATTGTAAACGCCTGGTTTGAAGATTTTACACACACTGTGTTAATTTTGTGCACAAAAATTATCCTAAATATTTGTAAAAAAAAAAAAAAAATTAGTTTCAATGTTTTGAAAGTTTTGGGCCACGAATATATAAAGTAGATTCTGTTTCTGGATTTTAAAAAAAATAAAGCACGCAACAGTTTTAGACTATTGGACTCTTCTGACTATTGGACTAAGGCCCAATGACTGTAAAGTATAATTCCGTTGGTTTTTCATAACGTCTGTTGGACACTTTTATATTAGTACGGGAACTTATTGGGTTTACGAATTGGAGGGGCATTGTTGTAAAATCAAGCTGGTGTGGTGGTCTCTTAGGTTTCCCGCATCCTTCTCTGTTCACAATTCTTCGCCTGCCGCTACTTCCGGTTAAAAAGAAACCTTCCTCCCCTTGATTTTGATGGGAATTAATTTGCATTTACTGGCTTGCTGCGTGCTTGCGGAGCCCTAATCCTCTCTGATATTGTTCTCCTTTGGCTTTTTGCCTTACAGGTTCGACAATGCGTGGTTTTTAGCTGAAATTTTTGTGTGTGCGTGTGCGTGTGTGTTTTTGGACTGATTGTGGATATCTCACCTGAATCGTGTTTCTCTGTTTAATTTCTGTTCGTTCTCTCTTTCTTGGGCAACCTATTTGCTGAGACCGGGCCTTTAAAAAAAAATTGCTGAGATGTGCTCTTTGTAGGGTTGTCTTCAATTTGGTTGGTTTTGTGGGTTAGATTTTCCTTTTTTTTTTCTTGAATATCTAATGCTGTACAACGGCTTTGATTTTTTTTTTTTTGTTTTTCTTTTCTTACTTCAGATAGTTTTCTTGCTGATACTTTTATCTTGTTGATTGCTCCCTCTACAGGTGACGTGCTGCAATGGCCGATTTTGTTCCACTAAGTATGTTCTTTATTTCTACCACAATCGCTATCCATCTTAAACTGCCACACTACATTTCAATATAGTCACGTCTGTTTTTAGTCCTTTACCAAATTAGGCTGGTTATGTTTCTCTTTTTATTTTCTTTTTTACCCTCCCTTGTGTTGCAGGTACTCGTTTGGGACCTATTCCTACAGTGGCGCTCTGCTATACTGCTGCCATCTTCTTGAACGCTGGGGAGAAACTTGTGACAATGAAGTGGAAGGAGTGGAAGGAAGCCAAAAGGCAAGGAAAACCTGTTTTTAAATATACATGAGTGCATTTTGTGCTTTATATCTCCTTTTTCCCTGCCTTTAGGGTGATTAGATTCTTACAATTTGAAAAATATGTTTTTCAGGGCCAGCAATGATGCTGCTGGACGGAGAGCTTAGAGGGAAGTTGGTCTGTGCATTTTGTATTTTAATGATGATGTGCTCTAAAGATGCAAGAGGGCAACGTATGCGTTTTGTTTCATTGGCCAAATAGAAGGATAGTCACGTGAAATTCTACGACACGATGACTCTAATAATACCTGCTAACATTCCAACGATCAAGCTAAACTTCTTAATTGGTACTTTGAGAGCCTGGCTTTTTTTTTTTTTTGGTGGTTCTCTTTTAAGTTAACCAACGCATCTGAACAACTTATTGAATTCCCGGTATTGTTTCTAAGATATTTAAGGCTAAATTTTATTTGCAGGTGAATTTTATTAGACTGTTTTTTTTTTTTTTGGTCGAAACGATAGGCTTACATTTATTCTATGCCACGGAAAGGGATATCTAAAAAGATCAAAGAGAAATCAAAAGGATTTGAATCATCTATCGACCCAAACGGGTGGATTATGCATTCGTGTAGAATTTCATTAGACTGCTCGCGCATGGGAATCTGGAAGCAACCAAGGTCCAACGTCAACTCCAGAAAAAAAACAATCAGCTCGTAGTCGTAGGTAGCATGACAAGTCATTATTTGGTACACGAGATCGCTAGTTTATATTAGCGTCTACTTACTTCGTTGACTTCAGATTATTACTTTGTCATATCCCAAGAAATTTGTCCATAAAATAACACTGGAAGACACAAATGCACCCTAGTTAACCCATGCCCCAATAAATTAAGCACCAAAAAAATGGCATCTGAAACCCGTCACTTCCCAGCTTTATTGTGCTTTTCCATCGTCCTTCTTCTCTACAAGTGCATCAACAGCAATTCTGCAAAACCATTGACTTCTTCTTCTATATCTTGTCTTTCTTTTGACTGTAATGGCCTCACAATAGGCTACCCATTTTGGCTAAAAAGCCAACAATCTCATAAGTACCGTGGCTGCCAAGGTTTTAGCCTCTCATGTAACGGCAATGCCCTGACCCTCAGCCTCTCCAACCACCTCTGCAACGTTAAAAAATTTGCATTTATTGTGATGATCAGATAATTCACTTCTTCTACAATTGCTCTTTCTATCCGCCTTCACTGCAGGACATAAAGTGTCCAGGGCACGGTGGAGTTGAGCGGTCGTTTTTTTTCGTGGACGGCGCGATTCCTGAGTTTGATTGGAAGAAATATTTTATTATGAAGCCGCGGTGAAAGCTCCTGTGATTGAGAGTGGTGGTCATGAAGTTTTTGGTGACCTTGTTGTTAGGGGTTTTGGTGATCTATTCATCTACCTATATAGTAAAAGCGCGAAAGGATTCGTTAAGGGTTGTGGTGGCTGTGCTGATGTGGCTGCATTTTATTCGCTGGAGGGTCGTCCTCCATCACGTGGTGCTCGCGTGCTTTCACTGGGAGGGGCTTCGGATTCCTGCTTTTGTCCGTTGGGAGGAGCACTACAATTCCTGCTCTTTGTCCGATAGACGAGAATGAGGACCGGCTAACCTGCTGAGTAAGCTTACGGCGGTTGGTGCTGGTTTGATTGATGCGAAGTATTGGGTGATGGGCTGAATGTGGGTTTGCGTGGGTTTACCATTTTGCCCTTCATTTTAAAAAACAAATGCAACGTTGTTTGTTGCTGAACTTACTGCTTGCCTCTGTCCTTTGTTGAGAAGAAGTTTTAGCTCTGGTTTGGAGAGCTACCAGAAACGGACTTTTTCTCTTTCTTCTGATTGAAAGGACTGAGAAACTTTGTTTCTCCCATGTATGCAGAGGCTCCTGTGTTTCTGAGACCGCCTCCTCCAGCTACGGCCATTATGCTCCACGGTAACTGTGCCTTGTTTTTCGGTGGTCTTTTCTTTCTTTCCATCTGTTTGCTCCTATCCACTGTCTTGTTAGCTCATTTCTTTCCTTTCCCTTATTCTCTCTGTGGGAGTTGCTGTTTTCCTGCGTTCTTGTTTCGAATTTACTTGCCCTGTTACTGTTACATTTTTTCCTCCTGGTGAGTTTGTTGTCTGGAATTGTCATGCTTATTTGATTTTCCCCCCTAAATTTTTATGCCCCGTTGAACTCTTACTGTTGCCTTGGCTATTTCCTTTGCATTACGCTCCATTTTTGCTGCTTCTGTTGCTTTATTTAGCTTTGATTTCCTGTACGCATCTTTTTAACTTTGTTTTCCATTTCTCTCTTGTAAGTTGTGCTTACAATCCTTTTTTTTTTTTTTTTTGTTCTAGCTTCTGCTCTGCGCTTCTTAGCTCGTGCGGGTAAGCTTCTCACGCGTTCTGTTTTATGCTTTTTACCCCTTTCCCCTTGATTCCCTGATGCTTTTCCCCTTTCATTCTCTCTTGCATGCTATAGCTCATTAGCTCTTTTATCATTGTATCCTCTTAATCTTTCTTTTTCTCGTTGTTTTGTTTAATACAGAAGGCGGTTCTGCCCTTTTCCCTCCTGCTCTATTGTTGGCTGCCAAAGGATTGTTCTGCCTATCTAAGGTTAAGGTGCCGTCACTTATTCTCCCTTCTGCATAAGCTTGCCTTTTTTGCTTTCCCTGTTGCCTTGTTCCTTGCCAATGAACATTTGGTCCATGTTGTTACACCCTTCTATAATGTTACAAGGTTTTCTTGAACGTTTTCCTCCTTCGTGCTGATTATGTCTGCCCAAAAATAGCTTTATAATGGCAGTCATATGCACGTGCACCTGAAAAACAAAAGTGCACGCTATCCCTTTCACCTGATTACATTTAACTGGCAGTCATATGAAATTATGCATGCAACAAATACATTACAGATACCTAACAGTTATTATTCCCACTAATTTTCTTCGCATAATCAGTGATCAATTTTATTTACTCTAACATGAAAACCATGTACGCTAACAATTCCACCTTTCTAATCATCGCCTACTTAACCCATTCTCCCAAGAATAAACTTCCTTTAGCAGACATTTCCATTCACTATGAAGAAACAATAAACTTCGATTACAAGACAATTGAACAACATCAAAATCAATTCTTATTGTAAATTTAAAATCAACAAAAATGATCAATCTTCTGCAGTAAAATAGCATAATGAATAGCTTGCCAACACTTCGTCCCATCTCTACACGAAACAAAACCATACAAATTAATTACAATTTTACTCACCTCGATTTTTCCTTTATAACCTTTTTTCTCAACACCATGTTGGATGCAAACTTTTATATACTCACGTTTTCTTATACCATTACTTATTTAAAAACTTAATCATTTTATAGCTAAGTTGCTCAGACGCAATTCATATGCTTTATGCTATTTCCACTTGAAAACCTGGGCATTTTTTGGGCAGCATGAAACTACCACCGCGCATCGCGCGGTGATCCCCTCCTAGTTTACTACTAAACACCACTCATCCGGTCCTCCTTGCTTGTAGGTTTTGGTATATTCTTTCTTGGAGGTTAATTTCTTGAAACAATAAAGGGGATCCAACTGCGTGGGAAATGTGCTTTATATGTCCTCTTGTTTTCTTTGCAAAGGTGAACTTTCAGCGACTAAGCACATTAGTCATCATTTAAATCAATGTTATCATTGCTGTACAGCATCTTGTTCTTTGTTGATCTACTAAGATGTCTAACAAGGATTTTTGTAGCAGGTTTTACAAATTAGCTGATCCTAACAATGGAATTCTGAAGAAGGGCCGAGAAGCTTTTCTAACTGGATGCCATCTTCGAACTGCCAGCAAAAGTTGTGGCCAGGCACGACTTCTGCCAACTGAATATTTTGTGGTGCTGTTAGATGAGGTATTGGAGGATTTCTTTGCTTATCCACTTGTGATTGACCTTTTTATGTATGTTGATCTTTGCTAGCACAAACTAGTGTAGTTTTGCATGCTTTATCTTTGCATTTCCATGCTTATTAATTTCAGGAGTCCTGTGACATAGATGCACTTGGTCTGATTTTAAGATTTCATATTCTGTTTCTGGTGTTGACTTTAAATTTATCCTTGATACAGGACCAAGACGATGATGCAATGCTAATTGGAGCCCAGTTTTGTTCAGATTCCTTCTCTTCCATTTCTCTTGAGGCTGTTAAAGAAGGGGTCTCTTATTCATTGTATGCTAGGTAAGATGTGGCAGCATAATATGTAGTCTGTCTTGTGTGCTTCAGTTTTAAACGAAGTTGATGCTACTTTCTCTGAAGTTGGTATATATAAAATCAGTCATCTCGCCAACTGGTCCACTTCTTCAAGTACAACAGACAGTTTCATCTCGCCAACTGGGCATACTGGATTTTCTGAATCACGCCGATGGTGATAAAAAATACAGAAGAAAGCCCAAAAGAAGAAAAGTAATAAGGTTGGACAAGCAAGTCTCGATATTGAACTAATCACCCAAAAAAACTTGAAAAATAGTCAGTACTTAATTTAATTCATTGCAAACAACTATTGTAATAAACCGCAATTTTTTGTCCTACTTACCAATAGTTTGTTCCATAATCTATTGTTTTTATGCTACGTACAATAATTTTATCCTACATACCGAGTTCTTGATTAATTTACCACTTAAAATTCGTAGCATGAGATTGACAACCGAATAACTAGGGTCTATTTGGAAGTTGAGTTTTTACTCAAGTTTGTATTATACTAGTTTTTTACCAACTTTCGCTACAGTAACCTAAAAAAACTTCTCAAAATTTTTTATCTACACACTTCAAAATACCCAAAACACAAAAAAAAAAAAAATTCCCTTCCCTTTTTCTTCTTCTTCCTCCCCCACCCAACCCACCACCACCACCTCCATCGGTTCCGGCACCGATCACCTCTTCCGGTGCTAGTCTTCTTCTTTTTTTTTTCTTTCTCCCTCTCCCCCTCTTCCTCCCCTGCCATCCTCCCCCTTTGTCCGATTTTGATCCTCCT